CCCGCGGATGTCCGTCGGCCATCGCCCTGCAGCCATGCTGATGGATCTGGCTGCTCGCAGTCCTTCTTGCCTTAATCCCTAGAGGACTTGCTTTTATTTGGTGGTACTCCCTCGATAGGTGTCAACACCTCCTCTTACTCCCCGTTCTGAACTCTCTGCAGCTGAAATTTTACCTCTCAGTTAGAAAAGTGCCCAAAAAGGGAAAGGTCTGCACCAGCGCATCCCTCTGGGCTGTTGGGAGAAAGAGCAGGGAGCGGTTTGTGCCTCCTCTTGCCAGTGGTGGGCTCCTGTAATTTTGTGTTTCTGTTTTTCTTTCTCTCCTCAAGAAAGAGAAATCCAAATCGAGTAGCAGCACTGCCCGAGAACCCAATGGCTTCCCAGCTGACACCTCTGCCAACTCCTCTCTCCTCCTGGAGTTCCAGGGTGAGTCTGGCTGAGCCTTCAAGCTGGGGAAAGACTCTGAGGCCATATAGAAGCTGGGATGTTGCTGGCTTATGTATGCTATGTGTATTGGTAAGAGCAACGTGTGTCTTCAGTGCAGGGTTGTGCTGAAACTGTTAAGTTTTGCAGTCAGCAAGAATCATAATCGTTTGCTTCTGGGATCTTCCTGTGGGAAGCTTCGTGGGGAACTGGAGGAGTGGGGGTTCCTGTTCCCACTTTGCAGTCCCTGCTGGGGAGAGGCCGGTAGTTGCCTGCGGCTGAACCCCCCCTGCTTCCAGCGGTGGCTTGCGTGGACCTTCGGACGAAAGGGCGGAGGATCTCCTTGACCTTGCTCTTGATCCCGAAGCACTGCAGCCAGCCACGAGCAGGATGGGCTCTGTAGTGGAGCTGAGCAAGGCTCAGGCAGCGCACAGACTCGCTGCCGGAGCAGAGCGTGTGCCTGTCCCCCACCTCTCCACTCAGCTTGCAGTGCGGCCAAGGAAAACCGGGGAACATGTTGGCACTTCCAGTAGGTGTGGTGAGGAGGTTAGCACTGCAAGTCTGCAGTTTGGGACTGCTTTACCTGGAAAAGGCGCGTGCCAGGATTGCCTCCCTGTCTGGAGGCAGGTGCCAGGCGTTGCTGCTGCTTTAGATCACTGCCTTGCAAACAAGAGAGGTACAAAGCCCTGGTACGTGGGCAAGAGGTCTCCTGCCCTTGAATGCCCGGCTGCCTGGGGCCCTCGCCAGCTGCAGCCGGGAGATTTGGCAGTGCAGTGCTTTGTGTCACCCCTGCACCTGCTGTTCATTCTTTCTGAGCAGCCCAGGGTCGCTCTCTGCCCGCTCTCCCCCGGGCAGAAACACACCCTCTCCTGTGGGCCAGCCGTGTCCCGGCAGGGAGTCTCGTGCCCGGCAGCGCTTGCGTTGATTGGTGACAGTGGATCCCCTGTACTCTGACCGTCTCTGTCTCTGTGCTCTTCCTTCTCCCTAAGACCCTGGCTCTTCAGTGCCACCCTCGGCTGCCTGTGCCCTTGGGTCAAGGTGCTCTTCTTCACTAGGTGCTGTTTCTGCAGATGAGAACAGCAACCAGAGCTCCCTGTCGGATGTCTACCAGCTCAAGGTGGACAGTAGCCCCAACTCCAGCCCCAGTCCCCAGCAGAGCGAGTCCATGAGTCCTGCCCACACGTCCGACTTCCGCACGGACGACTCACAGCCACCCACACTGGGGCAGGAGACACTGGAAGGTGGGTGCTGGGCTGGGAAGGGAGGGGGTGGGCAGCTGGGCCCGGGGAAGGCTCTGCCAGAGCCGTAGCTCATCCGGTGGGTGACTGAGGCACTGCTGGAGGTGGTCAGGGCAGCAGAGGCTTGTGTCTTCTGCCGGAGGTCTCCTCGCCTGGCTCAGCACCGAGCTGGGTACGGCCGTGCTCCTGGGTCGGCAGTTCCGTTAATCTTTCTGTTCTCCCCAGAGCCTTCCCTGCCTTCCTCGGAAGTCGCAGATGAGCCTCCCACTCTCACAAAGGAAGAGCCAGTCCCCCTTGAGACTCAGGTAAGGGAGGGGGGATTGAAACCATGTCTAAATGCGCCTGCAGCTTGGCCCTTTCACCCTTGTTGCTGCTTCTTGTAGCAGAAATGTCTCGATGGATGGACTTGCTCTGCAGTCCCAAGGTGCCCTCCAGGAGCTCCCCAGCCTCCCGGCTGGTTCAGTTCAGGTGTTAAAGTGTCAGGAAAGGATGTGGAAGTGGAGTCAAACAACGATTTTAGCTGACTCCAGGGCTGAAGTGGGTTCCCGCTCCTGCTGCCTTGGGCCTTCCTCACAGATGAAAGCCAGGGGTGTCCCCACAGCCGTGTCCAGGTCCGTGTGGCTTGGTGGGCACGCTGAGCTCTGTCGCTGCCCGTGACCTCTGCCTCTGGCTCTTGCAGGTAACTGAAGAGGAGGAGGACTCCGGTGCACCGCCTCTGAAGAGATTTTGTGCCGATCAGAACTCTGTGTGCCACACGGCCTCGGAGAGCTAGCCTGCCCGTCCCCGGGGAGAGCGCCTTCGCCA